GACTTAGGTTGTTCCTTCCCTGAGGAATCTTACCCATCTCTGGCTAACCAGCCATCCTCTGGGCCAAGCAGGGTGATGTGAGTTTTGGTCTGACTCCTTGGTAGTCTATGCCCCCATGGGCTCCACGCCCAGCACCTGCCTTGGGAACCCTCACCTGCTGATGAGGCCAGGGTGCTGATCTCATATTTTTGGGAACCCATGTTTCTTCTCCAGAGAGGGTCCAGCTCACCCCACTGGGCAGGAGAGAGATCCATGGTGCCAGCCACCATGGTGCTTCAGCCTTGGCATGAGCTGAAAGGTCAGGTAACAGTTGTGGTCACCTGAATCTACATTATAAAATTTCCAAAAGTCTCCTATTATTTAAATTAAATAAGGGGGTGACAGTGGAAGAATATCATGTAAGGAAAAATATCCTGCGAATAATTTACATCTAAAAAATTTGTACTTTAGAAAATTAACCTTCATTAGAAATGCTAACAGAAAGATCCCCATGAAAATACACACATGGTGTCAAAACAAGCCAGAGGAAAATCATTGGAGTGGGGTGGGGGGACGGGGACGGGAAGAAAAAGGATCCCAAGTCAAATTTATAAAAAATATCCCTTTATTAACTTTTGGTCAAGAATATGTTTGTATATTTTCAGAAAACAGCTCCTAGACCATCTGGAATCCTGTAACAGAGAGGAATAGACAGAAGTGCTCCAGCCATGAAGACAGAAGAGACACAATTCAGAGATGGAAGATGCTGACGACACCTCGCCATACCAGCATCTGCGTGTTGCTGAAGGATGCCCAGGACCAAACCAGAGACTGTCGGACCTTCATCACCACCGTTTGACCACCAACCAGATCTGAAATATCATGGCTGACATGTATACATAAGGAACTATTTGACATTAAAATTGAGACTCAAAAGAACTATTGGTCCAGAAAGGAACTCACTACAGACTGATTCATTTGCCTCTCAGCATAACCATTATGGCTTGTCTCAGTTTAGGTTCTTACAAGGGTATTTCTTAGATCACATGATCTCACACATCTAGAGGAAATGATGAACAACGTAGACTGATGAACAAAAACAGACTCAGAGAAAGAGAAGCACTGAACAGACTTTCAAACCTCAGAGGGAAAGTAGGGGAGGGTGGGGGTAAAGGGGAAGAGATCAACCAAAGGACTTGTGTGCATGCATATGGGCCTGGCCAGTGGCCATGGACAACGGGGAGGGGTGTATATGTGAGGGCATATGTAGGGAGGGGCTTGGGATGGGATTGGGGGGATGAGGACAATTATGTGATACCATAATCAATAAAAAAATGGGAAAAAATAAAATAAAATAAAATTTAAAGAGAGAGAGAGAGAAAAAAAAAAAAAGACTGAAAACTCTGCTGGAGTCACTTGCTTCTGTTTAAATCCTATTCCTACTACTACTGACCAGCTCTGCTACCCAAGGCTGGTTATTTATCCACTTTGTGCCTATGTTTCCTCAAATGTAAAATGAAATGACCCCCATAAAATCATTGGGAGGATTATATGAAGTAATGCTTGTAAATCACTTATGACAATGTCTGGCACAGACAAAATGTTTAATAAATGCTAGTGAGATCACTACATACCTTTTTGAATCTAGCTTATGACCTAGTGATGTGCCACAGATATTTGTTAATTTTCTAGAAGCATGTTAACTGGAATCCACTGAGAGTCAGAAGGGGAAAGTAGTAAGTTTTAGTAGAAGTACAGAACAAATGTGAATTGCTCTAAGAAAAAGCACAAGATTTCACAGAAATGATTGACTATGTTCTTTTCACAATTTACGACCACAATTTTTTTACCCCCACTGAGTAATTTTCATAGCAGTTCCAGTGAGGTACATGAATACTGAGTCTACTAGTATATTTCATTGGTCCTGGTTTCATTTGAATATGGAACCACTAAAATTTAGACAGATGCATTTTTTTTAAACTATGTAGATTAAAAGAGGGAGTGGGGTCTGGAATCTGCATTGAGCATTATTTTCCTGCTGAAATACATATATTACACATCTCCATATGTGTCAGATACATACATACAATGCATGAGGACAACTAACATTGCTGTTCACTAAATATCTTCCAACTGTGCCCACTGATGTAAACTAGCAAGTTATTTTCATAAATTGGATATGGTTGATTATTGGACCAGAGGGCTTACACAGATGAATGATTTCTTGAGAGGCCTCCACCACTGCTTTCGGGAATAAGACCACCCAAAGGAACTCCAGTGACGCTGTACTGCAGACCCCTCCCCTTCGGAAACCTAAAGGCTGTACTCCACGGTGTAGGGCCAAGAGCAATGAGTTGCCAGAGTCTGGTCAATGGACCACCTGTGCAATACCCAGGGACGCTAGGGTCAGACATTATTTCTCATAGGAGCACTAATGTAATTTGTGATTTAAAAGGGGCCACCTCTCAAAGTCAGTGACCTAATTAATTGCTTAAAGGATTTTCCCAGACAGGTGGTCTGGAAACCTTTTACTTACTATATTGCCATCTCTGAACTTTTAAAATCTTTTTCCTCTTAAAATATCTTGGAGAACATGCCAAAACTGGTTTGGCTCAGTGCTTAGAGCATTGGACTGTGGACTGAAAGGTCTCGGGTTCGATTCTGGTCAAGGGCATGTACCTTGGTTGCAGGCACATCCCCTGTAGGGAGTGTGCAAGAGGCAGCTGATCGGTGATTCTCTCTCATCGATGTTTCTAACTCTCTATCCCTCTCTCTCTTCCTCTCTGTAAAAAATCAATAAAATATATTTAAAAAAATATATCTTGGAGAACATGAAACAGGGCAACAGAGCCTGTAGTTTTGAGAGCATTTCCCCACACAGAGCACTGTTTTACTTCTCACGATAACCTTATAATAGATAAAGCAGGTGCTTTTATTCCCATTTCTTAAGATGTACAATTGACGTTTAAACAGCCACAGTGAAGCCAAACTCTAAAGGCCAAGTCTAGCATCCTTAATGTCACAACCTTGGGACTCCTCAGGAATGAACTGGGAAGCCAAGTGGAATTGCCGCTGAGAACTGCACCTCAGAAAAGCTTTGGTTTCTGTTCCTACATTTCACAGATAATTTTCTGAAGCAAATATATACCATGGTCACAATACACGAACATTCTGATTAAAAAAAAATAATAAGTCGCCCTAGCTGGTTTGGCTCAGTGGGATAGAGCGTCAGCCTGTGGACTGAAGGGTCCCAGGCTGAATTCAGGTCAAGGGCATTTACCCGGGTTGCAGGCTCCATTCTCAGTTTGGGATGTGCAGGAGGCAGCCAAACAATGATTCTCATCATTGATGTTTCTCTCTCTCCTTCTCCCTTTCTCTCTGAAATCAATAAAAATATATTTAACAAAATAATAAGTCACGCTCGTGTATCTGTAGAGTAGGTTTTTTTTTTTCTTTTTCTTTCTTGAAGTAGCCTGAAAACAGTTCCCCCTTGCTGTCTTTCAATGCATATCTTCACTGAAGTTAAAACGCAAGGCTCTTACTATAGTAAGAGCATTTCTGAGTTGCCTGGGCCAGCAGCTGCGTTCCAGCTGTCCAGAGTAACTGATTAGTAACTTACAGGTCTTTTCCCTGCCACCCCCATCCTCATCCCCAACCCCTCACCCCTTCCCACCCCCCAGCTCCAGAGCCTGGCAGTTGCCCGCTCCTGCGCTCTGGACAGCGCAGCCTGGGTGGCCGCTCTCCGGCAGCTGCGTTCTGTCCACCAGGAGAGACGTCCCCACGATGTAGCCGTAACCAGACGATGTCCCCACGGACCACTGTGGCCCGATTCCCGCGCATCCCCCCTGTGGGAATCAGGCTTTTCCCGGGAGAAAACACCAGGAATCCAGTTTAGAGAAAACTTCCTAAGTCTCCTCCCAGCACGGGGGAAACTGGAAAACCGGGAGACAACCCTTTCCCCCGCTGCAGATACACGCCCGGCGGCGGCCACGAGGGCTGCGGTGGGACGAGTGAGTGCGTCTCTGCCCTCCGCAAACGCGGGCAGGGTAACCGGGAGCCAGCCAAGAAGTTCCCGGGGAGCCCGCACCCTCCAAGCCACCCGTTGTTACTTGGCAGAGGAGAGTAGGGAGTGGCGAGGCTGGAAGAGAGAGAATCCCAGGGAATAACCTGGGCCAGGCTCCCCGCACTCCGGAGTGAGACCTGGCCGGAGGAGGCGGCGTCCTCCCGGTGTCAGGCGCAAGAGCGGCGCGCCGGGCAGACAGAGTGAACTCGGGATTTCTAGGAAAGGGACTGCCCACGTCTGCTTAAGTCAAATGTGGGGCTGAGGTGGCCATGGAGGGGGGCTTGAGGGAATGGTGGCAATCCCAGAAAAGGCACGACACGTCCTGTGCACCTTGATTTTTGGTACAGAAGAGCGGGAACGCGATAGGATCCCGCCTTTTATGCGGAGGAATAGGCAGGTCTCCTGGTCCCACCCACCCCTGCAGCTGTGATGCAAAGAGGACAAGTCGCCTACGTTAAGGCTGGAAAATCATTCCCCCCCCCCCCCCCAAAAAAAAAAAAAAAGGAGTAGGGAGGTGGGGAGAGTAGGCACCGAGCAGTCTCCAACCACTGGGGTGAGAGAGCGCGCGTTCTGAGGAAGCAAACCCCGCCTAAATAATTGAGTTAGGAGCCCGTTGCTTCCAGAGGCTCGGGGCGCACCTCCCCTGCTTCCTCCGAGGTAAGGGGGAGAGCAGCAACGGAGAGCAGCGCGGCTGGCCGGTGGGACACTGCGCCCGGAGACAGACAACTGCGGGAGGGAGAGCGGAGCCCCCGGAGCGAGCGGAGCCCCCGGAGGGAGAGCGGAGCCCCCGGAGGGAGAGCGGAGCCCCCGGAGCGAGCGGAGCCCCCGGAGCGAGCGGAGCCCCCGGAGGGAGAGCGGAGCCCCCGGAGCGAGCGGAGCCCCCGGAGGGAGAGCGGAGCCCCCGGAGCGAGAGGAGCCCCCGGAGCGAGCGGAGCCCCCGGAGGGAGAGCGGAGCCCCCGGAGCGAGCGGCGGGCGCGGGCCGGAGAGAGCGCGGCGGGTCCGGAGCGAGCCTCCCCGGCCAGGATGCGTTTCGCCAGGGGCAACTCCAGCAGCGGGGACAACGCCACCCGGGGGGCAGGCGGGGATCCGCCGAGGGACGCGCGCGACGAGGAGCTGGCCAAGGTGGAGATCGCCGTGCTGGCCGTGACCTTCGTGGTGGCGGTGCTGGGCAACAGCAGCGTGCTGCTGGCGCTGCACCGCACGCCCCGCCGCAAGACGTCCCGCATGCACCTCTTCATCCGCCACCTCAGCCTGGCCGACCTGGCCGTGGCCTTCTTCCAGGTGCTGCCGCAGCTGTGCTGGGACATCACCTACCGGTTCCGGGGCCCCGACGGGCTGTGCCGCGTGGTGAAGCACCTGCAGGTGTTCGCCATGTTCGTGTCGGCGTACATGCTGGTGGTGATGACGGCGGACCGCTACATCGCCGTGTGCCACCCGCTCAAGACGCTGCAGCAGCCCGCGCGCCGCTCGCGCCTCATGATCGCCGCCGCCTGGGCGCTGAGCTTCGTGCTGAGCACGCCGCAGTACTTCATCTTCTCCATGTTGCAGGTGGACAACGCCACGGGGGCCCGCGACTGCTGGGCCACCTTCATCCAGCCCTGGGGGCCCCGCGCCTACGTGACATGGATGACCAGCGGCATCTTCGTGGCGCCCGTGGTCATCCTGGGCACCTGCTACGGCTTCATCTGCTACCACATCTGGCGCAACGTCCGCGGCAAGACGGCGCCCCGCGGGGGCAAGGGGGGCGCCGCCGCCCAGGGCTCCTCCGGCGGCGACGGCGGCGCCTTCCACAACGGGCTGCTGCTGGAGCCCTGCGTCAGCAGCGTGAAGATCATCTCCCGCGCCAAGATCCGCACCGTGAAGATGACCTTCGTGATCGTGACGGCGTACGTCGTTTGCTGGACGCCCTTCTTCGTCGTCCAGATGTGGTCCGTCTGGGACGAGAACCTCCACTGGGTCGGTAGGTGTCGGGACCAGGGAGGAAGGTGCTGGGATGGAGTCCTGAGGCAGGGGGTAGGGTGTGTGTGTGTGTGTGTGTGTGTGTGTGTGTGTGTGTGTTGGGGGGTTCTTTCCATAATATCCCCTAGGACCATTGTTCTTAAATTTCTGTGCGCATGAGAATTACACCTTGGCTGAAATTCTCAAAAGGGCATATTCTTGGGGTCCCCAGCTCAGACAGTTTGATTCCGTAGCTTTGGAACGGGACCCAGGAATCTGCATTTGTAGTTTGCAGTGATCCCAAGACCACAAATCCAGAAACCATGCCCTAAAGTGAGCCACACAACTCCAAGGTGGCTGGCTTTCTTTTCCCTCAATAAACTTTAATAATTCTCCTCCATAAAGGCCTTCATGTGTTGTATTAGATTTCTCCCTAGGAGTTTTATACTTTTTCATGCTATGGTAAGTTTGTTTTTTAATTACGTTCTAACTGGTTGCTGCTGATTTTTGATATATTGTTGCTATGTGTTGATTTTGAGTCCAGCAATCATGCTAAACTTTTATGTGTGTGTGTGTGTGTGTGTGTGTGTGTGTGGACACTATTACAGATGTCCTCCATTTGCCCCCATTTGCGCAGTTTCTGTGTCCATGGGCAATACATATATGAGTGACTTTTGCCAATCACTAACCTCCATGTTAATTATCTTACTTTAAAATCTATTGGATTTAAGGAAATATTTTTACTGTCACAACTGCTTTTCATTAGTTTTTGAAAAGTATCACAATTAATAAAAAAATTTGTAGCAAGGATAAAATGTACATTTTTTTTTCTTTCTGAAAAAAGAGTCTTAGGAAGTCAATAATTCTAATTTGGCATTTAGCTAGGGTTCCATTTCTTACAATCCTTTTCTAACAACTACTTTAACATTCCTTGGAGGGGATTTCAAAGTAGAATTATTAATAAACTCTAAATTTGTTCAACTAATTAATTAGTCTTTCAGCCGTAACTTGACCACACAGCTATACACCTCTTCATGCAACCTTTGCAATAGTTTACTAAGAATGTTCCTTACACTTACTAGCTTGTTTGATTTCAATTCCTTCACAAACTAGAAAAACTAACTTCACTAGAATGTACCCCAAAAGAAATGATTTAATGTTGTGCCTTGAAATATATATTTCCTTTTATTAAGAAAAAAAACTTTCAAAAGAACTGTATTACAGGAATATTACCAACAACTGTAGTTGGTAAATGGGTATCTGGGAAGAACTGTCCTCCTGTTATTTGGGACTCACTAGGGAGCATATGTGAAATACTTTGAATTCATATGCGCACATAAAACATTTGAGTGTGAATTTAATTCAAAGAAATGAAAATTCATGCATGACTATAATATTACCGATGAAAAATATAACATAAATTCTATATTTTTGGTTTACCATTTCCTGTCTTGTTTGATCTTAGCAGCTTCCTAATTATTGCCAAGCAAATAAAAAAATCAGCCTAATAATTACCTATCAGAATTTAGACATGATTACTAAAATATTCTTCATTTATGTGAAGGTATGTTGATGATTTCCATTCTTTTTTGAATATTCTTAGCCATGGATAATGACCACCTTTAAAAGTATAGCATTTTAGCACAAAGTATAATTAAATAACCTGTAATTTATTCTGGCATAGCATGAGTGAGAAGACCCAGGCTTGTATTTGATAATCAAGAGAAAGTCAGTGCTTGCTAATTATTGCTATCTTCAAAAAAGGCATATTATCTATTGTTCTAGTGTGAAAGTGAAAGATTATAATACATAGTTTTACAGGGCAAACTAACATACTAGTAAAATGTTTCAAGAGCCTGTTGGAATTTCCTAATTCAACTGTTCTTAATATAATTTAATTTTTAAACCACAATCAAAGATGGTTTTCTGTTTAAATTAAAAGAATTTCCTAATTAACAACAACAACAAAAAAACCCCAAAAAACAAAAACAAAAAAACAACAACTAAATACTGCATTCTCCAGGGAACTATTTCAACAATCCCCTTCTGTATAATTTTGTTATTACAGGAATATGTTTTAATATTTAAAAATTTTAAATTACTAAACATGGTATAGGGTGTCATACTTCTGCCTGAGTTATTGGGATGAATAAAATTTGGTGTATGTGGTTACAGACTCTTGAAATTTCATTGCAATTGTAGCAGTTCTGTAAGTGCTGTGTCCTTTAGCACATGCTGGTACTAGAACAAAGGATGCAAACTTCTAAAAAATAAGTTATTTAATATTCTTAACCTCTTAAAAATCCCACTTACTTATTCTACTTAAACATTTTAAGAGTGTTTTTAAATATCTGAGTTCATTTCAAGGCATTTTCCTTACAAAAAATATTTTATAGTCAAGCAATTCCCACACACCACCTATTTCCCTGCTTGATAAACAAAAGCCTTCACTTTCTATATTAACCCATAAATTTTTCCTACTTTCATGAGTCAATAGAAAAATAAATGTATCCAGTGCTCCGTTACTTGCATTTGACTATTTGAACAATCTCTGCTTATGCTTTTCCTAGAGTCGGAAAACCCGGCCATCACCATCACGGCATTGCTGGCTTCCTTGAATAGTTGCTGCAACCCCTGGATATACATGTTTTTTAGTGGCCATCTCCTGCAAGACTGTGTTCAAAGCTTCCTGTGTTGCTACAACATGAAGCGACCATTCAACAAAGAAGATTCTGACAGTCTGAGCAGAAGACAGACTTCTTACACTGTCAACCAGAGCCCGACAAACAGCATGGGTACGTGGAAGGACTCACCTAAATCTTCCAAGTTCATCAAATTCACTCCTGCTTCAACCTGAGCCCCTCAGTCATGCGACTGACTCTTGGGATAGACTTTCTTGCCCACTGGCTGAATCCAGCTCATCATCTTGAGAACAAATGAACTACATCAGATAAGCATATGCCAATTTGTTGGGTATAAGACTGTGTTTCTGGTTGCATTTTCATATTGCTATGACCAAATGCTATGAATTGGTTTATACAGAATAATAAAAACATGCTACACTACAATGTTCAGGCCTAATTCCCAGAAATATAACAAGTTCCTAAAGGAAATATAACAGACATTTCTAAAGGAAAAACTTTAACCATCCTGACTTTATATTTTGCTGTTGGTTTCTTCTCTTTTTATTTCTGATATAACTAAGGTTTGATTGGTTTAGAAGTCATATAACGTGGGGGCCTTATTTCTGAACAAAGTGAGCTCACTATCCATCAGCATTAAGAGTCAAAAATGAATTAGAAAAGGCTTCAAAGGGGCATGTTTGGTTCAAAGTGGAAAGAAGAAAGTTTTATTAGAAGCTATAAATCACCCAAAATTCCAAAACAGGAAGTTTAGAACAGGCAGTTCTCTCCTCTAGGTTCCTCATGCTTTGTTGGTTGTGAAATGCCAATGGACTAAGATGCTGAAGGTTAGAAAAATGTGTCAACTCACTGATAATACTTTTCTTCTCCTGCAAGGTCGTTCTAAAGTCACATTTGTATCAGGAAAACTCAGTTTTATTAGAGAAGTAGAAGTGGATTGTCCAAGGTACTATGCAGACTTTCTCTAGAATGTTTTGACCAGTGTCCAACTCTCACACTGCTATTGGAAAATAGGCCTTAACAAGACCGTTTGCTGGATAATAACATGATCATTGCTTCATGGTTGGGGAGTCCAAATTCATAGATAAGAAAGTCTGCTAAAGAGGAACTCAGGATATATAATGTCCCCTCGCACTTAATTAAAAATAACTTGGTCTTTCCTTCCCATCTCCCACCCTTTGACCAGCATGGGTAGAAGAAAGGCAGGGTTTCTCCGGGATGCTGAGGGAGATAGAAAAACAAAACAAAACAAAAAATAACTGCTCTGCATCTCCTCTGGTTTTCTTCATTATTAAATGCATGGCTTTGGGCAAATTATTTAAAAATTCATAAAGCCTCTATGTCCTTGGCTATACAATGGGGTTGATAGCACTCTCCTCACAGAGTCATTGTGAGGACTAAATGAAATAAGTGTGTGAAAGATCTTCGTAAATAAACTGCCAAGTGTTATACAAACACTAGAGGATGTTTTATTATAATCTTGGGGCCTTGAGAATAGCTCAGCCTTTTTCTGTTTACTTTTCATTAACCAGAATTTGTTGGTTTCATGTCTGGGATATAAAATATCCTAAAACTTAAATATAGCTTCGCTGATTCATTGGAAAGCACTGCCAGCGCGGCTGAGCCTAACTTCTGCCTGTTTCCCACTTTTTAAAAGACAGAACTTGCTTTCCTTTGAGTGCAGGTAAATCAAAGCCAGCCGAGAGCATGTTTCTCTTATTCCCAAACAGAGATAAATCACAACACTGTTTGGCTGTTGTTACTGCATTTTTTATTAATGGAACTCAGTGGGTTTGTTCTGCTATTTTGTCTGGCTCCTTTTCCTTCTTAGAGACCATGCAATAATTTGCGGATACATCATAAATATTTTGCATCTCTTAAAGGAAGTAATAGTTATTTTAATAGCATTGTTGGTCCTTTTTAAATTTTTATTAAAAAAAAATAACTTTGTAGATAAAAACTGAGGACTGGATTGCATTGTGAGAACCTGAAACCAGCAACTTCACTCCTCTTCATTCTCTTGCCTCTCCAAATTCTCAGGCCTTTTACTCCCTGGATTGATATACCTTTAAAAAAATGTTTGCAAATGTTTTATGGACATTAAGCCCTTAGGTCTTAGAAGTATACTTTTCAAAAATAAAAATGTTTCTTAAAGGGTACTCTCCAATATGATGTATCAATTAAATTAATCAATTCTTTATTAGTTGAGGCATGGCAGCATCTCAATCACCCTGCCTTCTGTAACAGTGTCAGCTTTTTGACAACTCCTCTTTGATAGTTCAAAAACTAAATCCTTTGGGTTGAAAAAAAGATGAATCCACTTCTTTTTCTAAATCTAGTTGCAAAACAATAACCTCATGCTTCTTGTATAGGTTGCCAAACGTAAAACAATTCAGTTTCAATCTTACTTCTGGGAACATCTATCAAATCAGGTACATATCAACCTACCCCGCTCTGTTTTCTCCTTTTAAATGCATCAGGAGGTGAGATACAGAACAAAGTTCGGAGACCCCAGAAGATCCAGTGCTAGTTCCGCACTAAGCAAGTTTAAGGTCTCATTCTCTGTGGGTTAGGCTTGCAGTTAAGAATAAATGTGTTGTATCACTTTTTTATTTTGCAGAATTATTTGTTGGGAGATCCTGCAAGTACACCATAGTAATGTATCTACGTGGAAGTGGAGAAGTGATTGATAGATAATCACTGCAGGGAGAAACTGGTGGTATTGTCCACTGGGTATTTGATAAATATTAGTAGATATTGAAAAAAAATAACATTGTAAAGTATATCATGTACTTAATGGATTAATTTTGGACATGTATTTTCAAGGTATAAAACTACCCAGCTTTTATATTAAAATATCATTTGGAACATAACTGAAAAAAAACTAGTGAAATTCCATGGTTAACTACATACTTGTCATACATACAGAATTTCTATCATCATCAAAGCAGTCTTCAACCAGGATTGAAGGAAGGGTGTGGTTTTTAAAGAGAAAAAGAAAAATCTAGTAATCCTAATAACATGCAGTATCTTCCTAAACATATTATAGTTCCTAGAATGGACAAACCATTGGTAATTAAAAAACACAACTTTAATCTATGATAGCACAAGTAAAGCAATCCAATTATAATAAAGTTCTATAAACTTTAGATTCTAAATCATGCAATTTTGGAACGTGATTGGACACGCAGAGCTTTAAATTATATTGTAGCTTCAGTGCTTTCTCTACCACGAAAGCATAATTAGGAGCTATCTAGAGAGACATGGAACCTAGCCTCCACCCCGGGTATTCAGTCCCCTTTCCGTCCACATGAACTGAGTCCTAATGGATTTTCATTCTGGAAGCAGGAGCTCTAGTTAAAGTAAGCCCAGGCAGGGCAGCTGGGATCTAGTGCAGGGGGTGCAGAAGCAGCCATTCCCCCCTTCCTCTTTCTCCTTCCCTGTGGCCCTTTTAGCACTCTCAGTGTCATTAGCAACACTTGGAATCATGAATAACACAGAACAATAAATACTAGAGAATAATTCTATATTCAAATTTGAGCAAAAATGTAAGAACTATTCATAAGAAGAGTTATCTTCTCAAGGCAACCGAAATGGGGCTGCATCACACAAATTGTGTGATTTCACTGCATACCTAAGCATTTGAAAAATATTGTTCTAAGTCAATTTTTAGATATAGTAATTTATCATGAATAAAGATATATTTTACCTATAGTATGTCATATCAAAAATATATATTATGGCTAAAAATTAAATGCCATTATTTACTTTTTTATTTTATATAATATAAACTCACATCATATCTTTTTATATTGATTTATATTCAAATAAAAATAAAGTGTCACAGAGCGAGTTAAATATTTTAGTGTCCCAGGGTCAAATTAGGGAATACAGAAGAGAAACTCTGAGAATAAATCTGATAGTAATGTCAGAATAATTATTAATTATTAATATGAAATAATTAGCACTTCCACACATAAAGGCAGTTATTTTTCTATCATGGGACTTATGATATATTCTATGATGTATTAGCTCCTCATTATCACAAAGGTATTAAGAATTCATGTTGTTCAAATGTTCTATATCCCCTAGCTTATTATGCTATACAGATGAACTTGAATGTGTATTCTTGGGGAAACTAAGATTCTGGTTTTGATGGATGTTGAAATGTTTTGTAATTGTACCTAATATTTGGTCCTTTTTTGAAAAAAAAAAGTCTTGTGGCATTATAATGAAATAAGTGGTGAATTTATTTCTTAATTTTACTGTGTATTGGCTTGATTCTATAAATAAAAATAAATCTCAAAGTTGTTTGAAATAATTTTTTACTATCTAGTTTAGTGATGAAATATATTTCAATTTATGCTGATTTTGAACAACTCAAAGAAATGCTTTAGAGCTGGTAGCTATTGATAGCTTTACATGTGAATACAAAGATGTTTTTGTTTATATTACTTTAAAAATATATATATATTTTATTGATTTTTTACAGAGAGGAAGGAGAGGGAGAGAGAGTTAGAAACATTGATGAAAGAGAAACATCAGCTGCCTCCTGCACACTCCCTACTGGGGGTGTGCCCAAAACCAAGGTACATGCCCTTGACCAGGACCCTTGAGTCTGCAGGTCAACGCTCTATCCACTGAGCCATACCGGTTAGGGCATTGTTTACATTCTTTAACTGTATCTAGAACAGATGAAATGTCAAAACTGCCTTTTCAATAAATTACAATAATTAAAGCAAATTAATTTTCTTTTAGTCTGTATTAAGACAACCAAAATAATCAGTTAACTGAGGTCAGGTATGTCATCCTAGCCTAAAAATGTCATCTCTGTCCATTTGCCTCTACAAGTTGATGAGATTGAATTCTGGGCTCATAGATCAAATCTCTTTCCTGTTTCATAGTTTTTAAAATTGGAATTCAAATCACATTAAGTTTCAATTTTTTTTTTTCTTTGACAAGTTAAACCCTAATAGCATGGACTAAAAGGCTTATTTTGGGTTTGGCTTAAATTCTAGAAACAGTGAATGCCCAGAATGGAAGAAAGAGAATCTGAAATCTCTATTTTAAAATACTGTTATTCTAGAACTCACTGTTATTTTCATAGACTTATAAGTGCTTAAGAAGAAACAAGATTTCTAACAAAACATGTTTTTAAAAGGTCCTATCAATCAGGTAAAATTGAACTAAAAGCTCCATGTATACCAGAAGATACTCATATAAAGAAATGCAGCAGTGGCCTGGTCAGTGGGGCTCAGTGGTTGATTATCTACTTATGAACCAGGAGGTTACAGTTAGATTCCCAGTCAGGACAAATGCCTGGGTTGGGGTCTCAATCCACAAGTTGGGGTGTGCAGGAGGCAGCCCATCAATGATTCTCTTTCATCATTGATGTTTCTCTCTCTCCCTCTCACTTACTCTCTGAAATTAATAAAAATATATTAAAAAAAAAAAAAAGAAATTGCGGAAACCAGTTTGGCTAAGTGGATAGAGCATCAGCCTGAGGACTGAAGGGTCCCAGGTTTGATTCTGAGTCAGGGTTACGTACCTTGGTTGTGGGCACATCCTCAGTGGGGGGTGTGCAGGAGGCAGCTGATTGATGTTTCTCTCTCATTGATGTTTCTAACTCTCTATCTCTCTCCCTTCCTCTCTGTAAAAAATCAATAAAATATATTTAAAAATTAAATTAAAAAAATAAATGCACTAGTATAGGATTTATTAATTCATTCATTCTCTATTTTTAACCCTCCATAATCTCTAGAGCTAAACATTTCTTTTCTTCTAATGCCCTCTAAATATCTACACTATGACATATCAAAATGATTGCAATGTTGGTTTATTGATCTGTCTTCATAATAATCATAATCATGTTTCTCTTAAAAATAGAAAGTATTTCCTCTTCATCTTTGCATCTTCATATAGTAGCAGTGTCTATAATATTTGCTTAATTAATGAAATTAATGTAGATATTAACACACATCATATATATATATATATATATATATATATATATATATATATATATGCTAGAGGCCCAGTGCACAAAATTTGTGCATGGGGGTGGGGGTCACTCAGCCTGACCTACAGTGATGTAAGTGTACCCTCTCCCATGCCCTCCTCCCAGCTGCTCTGTGCCCTCCGTGGCTGAGGTGGAATGCTTGCCTTATCACTTCAGTGACGAAGCAAGCATTCTGCCAGGCCACTCACGCTGCCCACTCTCAGTGACCACCCTCCCAGGACTGGGGGACTCCAATGGGGCTTAGAGGACTGGGCGCGCCGCCATCTTGTGGCTATGGACACCACCATCTTTGTGGCAGAGCGATGGTCAATTTGCATATTCCACCTTTATTAGATAGGATATCTAATAAAGATGGAATATGCTAATTGACCCTCATGCACAGATGGTGGTACCCACAGCCAATAAGGAGGGAATATACTAATTGACTGCCACACCCTCAAAGATGGTGGCACCCACAGCCCCAAGATGGTGGCACCCAGTTTCTTCAGCCCTTTTGGGGTGGCAGGCATAAGGCAAGGCTGGGCCCACTCCCAAGTCAGCCTGGCTGCTGTGCACACCTGCCTCTGGAGTCCCCCAGTCCTCTCAGCCCCCCGAGCCACCCAGGCTTGGCCCAAGGCACAGGCAAGCCTTAGATGGTGGCTGTCCAGGCAACGCCTAAGGCACAGACAAGCCTCATATGTCAGCTGCCCAGTCACCGAGGGCCACCCAAGAATCAGGTAACCAGGGCTGGTTGAGGCTTGCACTGCCAGCAGTGGCAGCAGCAGAGGTGTGTGGGGTGTTGCCTTCCCCTGATTGCCAGGTTGCTTTCTGCCCCTGAGGACTCCTGGACTGTGAGAGGGAGCAGGCCAGGCTGAAGGACCCTCCTCCAGTGCATGAATTTTCATGCATCAAGCCTCTAGTATTTACACTAATAAAAGAGAAAGATGCTAGTTGACCATACCTACTATGCCCACAGCCAATCAGCACTAACATGCAAATAAACCCAACTAAGATGGCAGGTAAATTTGCATATGCAGATGGGGCAGGCAAGCCTGATGGAGCCCACAGGGTCCAGGCCACCATGGACCTGGCAGGCCTGGCGGGAGGTCCATGACGCTGCCTGCAGGGTTCAGGGGGCAATAGGGA